ATCAGCTGTGCCCCTCCTTAAGTGCCTAAGTCACTTCTCTTTGCATCTTAGTGTTCTTATCTGTTAAGTAGGGTCCTGCTGCCCTCTGGGAATCTGGGCACATACTCCATAGTGAATTTGGAAGTTCCATTTAAAGGGCCACTTGCAGCCTGAGTTTAAGGGGAGTGGCAGGAGGCATGCCCAGAGCTGTATCCTCAGGCTCGCACTCCCCTGTCCTGCTCACCATGACGCCCCCTCCTTTCTGCCCCCAGAGGGTGGCGGGCAGCCTTTGAGCTTCTTGCCTTCCTCCCTCTCGATCCCCCCTGGGTGCCGGGCACAGGTTTCAAGGAGACGGCTTTCCTGTACGCGGTGTCCTCGGCTGCCCTCACACATGTCCTGGCCCGGGCCTGCAGCGCTGGGCGCATGGAGCGCTGCACCTGCGATGACTCTCCGGGCCTGGAGAGCCGGCAGGCCTGGCAATGGGGTGTGTGTGGCGACAACCTCAAGTACAGCACCAAGTTCCTAAGCAACTTCCTGGGGCCCAAGAGAGGAAGCAAGGATCTGCGGGCACGGGCAGATGCCCACAACACCCATGTGGGCATCAAGGTGAGCAAGCTCCCCGGCTGCCCAAATCACCTTCCCCAGCCAGAAGACGGGCCAGGGACAAGGTCTACAGGAGGCCAGCACCCCACCAGGCCCAACATACACACGGAGCTGCCCCCGGGATGAACTTCATTCCGTCCACCAGCATTCCCTGGGCGTCAACTCTGGACCATTACTGGGTACCAGGAATACAGCAGAAGTAGGGAAGGGGCCTGGATATTAGCAGCAGCTGGGCAGCAGTGGGAGCCAGGCTTGGGACTAGGTCTTGGGGAAGCAGGGACATTTTTGGAGAGGGGTTTTCATTCCAAGGACCGGGCCTTCCTGGAGATCCTAGAAACCAATACAGTTTGGAAACTTTGATCTCGTGCATTCCCTGCCCCTCCTCCATTTTACGGTGGGAAGACAGAGGAGGCCCAGAGAGGGGAAGGGACTTAGCTGCAGTCACACAGTAGTAGGAAAACTGGAGGGTAAAAAGTATCTAGGTATATTGAGGTGAGATGGCTGGGAGAGGCCAGTACTCCAATTCCTTAGGAAATTGTATCCTGTGTTCTGTGTCCTCACCACTGAGTTTGTGTGAACCAGCGCTGCCATGTTCAGTTGTGTAAGTTGTCTACTGCACAAGAACTCCAGACCAAGGGGAGGAGCAAGGGCTAAGATCCAATCCATACTGCTCTCACCAAGGCATGCACATTGGCATAGGGCTGTCTGCCTGGAGGAAGGGGAGCCTAGTTTGCGTGAAGGTGCCTCTCGGGCTAGCTTAGGTCCTATTTGTCCACCTCACATGAACCTTCCTCTGCCTCCTTCTCAATCCTCCTG